AACTTGCCTGCTAAGCCTAATACCAACAGTCTGCCTCACGGCTTAACCAGCCGAATGCGCCTCAGGGGCTGTGAGAGTTAGCTGACGAGTCTACTTCCATAAGCTTGCAAAGGTGAAGTGACTGAGTTTGAGTATCATGAGCCGCCGGATAACAAGGCGCTGTGTGCTGGCGTTTGTGAGGGCGTGCAGGGTCTCTACGCTGAACTTGCTCTGCCTTGACCAGGGGACTGAATCCACTGCCAAATGGACTGGGGTCCTGGCTTGTATTGCTCAAGTTCGGAGAGTGCTCTGCGAGCCAGGCTTCGCAGCGGCCGCATGTACAGGCCATGTCTGGAGACTATATACATAGGTGTCGGCAGCCTGCAGTCTTTTGCACACTCTTGTCTGTATTATCTATCGCCAAGTTCCTGCTCAATTCAAGCACCTTTTGCTTGCGAGATCAAAGTATACATACAATGTCTCATCTTCCACTTTTTTCCTCTGGTGATGGCAAGATATCTGATCAGGGTGGTAGGGCCAGGACCGCCTCGACGGCCACGCTCACAGACGGTACTAGCATCTATGGGATCTACACCCCCAGCCTCACCCACGACAGTACATTGTCTGAGCTTGTTGTGATACCGTCGGCACCGGAGCCCACGGTCTTATTGCGCGAAATTCAACAGGCTGCCGATGACATATCACAGCTCGTAGGGCGATTTGGATTCAAGATGGCAAAAACGCTGACGACTCCTTATATCAAAAAGGCGCTTTTCGCGGACAAGAAATTGCTTCGACTACCGTGCCTAATATACGCAGACGAATTCTCCTGCGTAATCACAAGGTTCTGTTCCAAACCAATCCACGACTCGACTTCGGCACCGCTGCTGTGGTGGCTCTGGAACGAGCTACTCGACGTCCTGCCGCCGATAGGCGAGACGCGGAACTGCAGACTCGACTTCAAACCCGCCTTGAGGACTGACATAGCCCTGCCCTATGCGATCACCATCGACATTTCAAGCAAAAACAACAAAGACAACATCGAGCTTACTGCGTCGTATGGC